AAATGTATATTTAACTGCGCTCAGTAATGTTCCTGTTCTACAGGAATATAACCACAATACAACCAGCTGCCAACCAGTTGAGTCAAGCCCACTTGAGTTGTTTTCATTGACAAAGAGTCATTCAGACTGATGGCAACATGTTGGCAACATTTCTGCTTTTATAAATTAGACAGCAGTTATTTGCAAACCTTCAATGATCTCTCTGAGAGTGACTGCAGACAGTCCAAGTAAGACTGAAACTGTTTGCAGAAAGGTTGCCTCCTGCTGGGCGACCTGTGCAATCAGTTGCAGAATGTGAAAAAAATCTATACAATCACCAGGCAGCCGCTGCTTTTTTTATGGATGCAAGGAGGTTGCTTTCCTATTTGTGGTCATGTGACTGAGCCATTAGCTTGCTCTAAATCAGGAGGTAGCTTTAACAAGCTGAGTGTGTTCAGTGTTGGATGGTTTTTCAGTTGAGCAGTCTGTGTTTCTGCGCTTATTCACACACTCAATTCTAAGCTAAGCTAGTAAACATTGTAAACAATACAACTGCTAAAGATAATAGCTCAGCTAGCTTTGCAGTAGTCCTGTTTTCCCCTCAAGCCTATGATTGACCTTTGTCTTGTTGGGTTTTTGTGTGGAGTGGAAATCTGCAGTCAGTGTTACAACAGTGTATTAGGGTCCATTGTAAGTAATAATACCATGAAAAAACACTTATTAATATCAAGCATATCTAATGTATGCATGGCTTAAAAAATCATTCCTCTGAACCTTGATCTAATGTAAACTGAAATCACATATTAATGCATATTAAACAAAATTCTGGTCATAATAATAAATGGTTATTAGCAGGCTACCTGCTCTATGGTAAAGTTGATGTGGCTGTTCATCTCCATCTGTGTGTGGACAGCGTGGGGATTCTTGTCCTTGTAGCCCTTCAGGAAAAGGTGCTTGAATGCCGCTGTGTTTTCCTCTTGAAACGTCACAACCATCTGGTTACTCAGTCCAAACATCACCAACTAATAGACAGAGCCAGAGAGCACAGGCACAAGACAAATGAGCTGAAACACTCGGGCAAATGCAGAGAAGCAGTCGCTGCACAGTTAGAATAAAACACAGGACATGATTGGGTATTTGCATTCTGAACCTACAGAGTATTCATGTTAAAGCAAAGGGCTGTATCCACCTGCACAGTCACAATGATGATTTTCAGCAGCTGCAGGCCAAGTTTGAAAGGCTTGCGCCCCTTTGCATGATACTTGTCACAAGGGCTCATGAAGAAATACTTGAGTTTCCTCCTCAGGGCCTCCTCCTCTCCTTCTTCCTCCTGCTGGAGGAGCTTGGAGCCCACCAGGGTAGGAGGGGGGGAGCTGCCACTTCCAAGAAGATCCTGGGAGCCATAGCCTGATACGGAGGAGAGCAGCTTGTCCTTCTCTGTTAATAAAATCATTCATTTTGGAAAGAAGCTCAGCATTAAAGAGGTACTCAAGACATTATACATTGCTGGGTTACTAACAAGTGACAATATACATTAACCCCTTTCATCCTGAAAAAGCGGTTGGAGAGTGTTTTTAATTCTGTTACTCAGTAGTGTTAGCTGGTCTCCCTGCTTGTATGTGGTGCAATTTCACAGCTTAGTATAATCAAGCTAACGCTGGCGGATAACTTTCATGTTTAAATGTGTAAATGCTCAAAAATGATCCAAGCATGATCCAAGATTACCACTTGTAGCTCCTGAAAAACAAACATCCAGTATCTTAATGATTAGAGTATTACATAAAATCATTAAATAAAAAAGAGTTTACAACAGATAAAAGTCCAGGTTCTGAAAAGCATGTTTATTTATACGCTGAATCCTTCTTTGGTTCTTCATAATGAATTACTGTGGCATGGAGGCGATCAGCTTTTGACACTGCTGACGTGTCACTGCAGCTCAGGTTGCTTTGATAGTTGCCTTCAGCTCGTCTGTGTTTGGGGTCAACGTTTCTCATCTCCGTCTGTGTGGCCTTCAGATCAGGTCAATTGGTTAGCTAATTAAGCACGTGTCTAAATGCCATTTGGTAGTAGTTTTGGACCCACTGGCACCCTGCTAGAAAAGGAAATTGGCATCTCCATAAAGCTTGGCAGTCAGAAGCATGAAGTGCTCCACTCCAGCAGGAACGTGATACTCGCAGCTCCGTTCTCTGCCAAGTCCTTGAATTGACTTTTCTCAAGGTTGCAGTCACCCCTGTTGCTTGTGGACATTTTATTTTCCTTCCTCAAATTTTATCAACATGCATTCTGTGAACAGCAAAATAGCTGTCTGTGGCTCATCCTGCTGGCATAGAGGGAAGCCTGTCAAGTCAGCAGTCTTCCCCTGATTGCAACTGCATGTTCTCAACTAGACTGAGAGACAGGCAGTATTTATACTGTATCTGAATGGTAATTCCCCCAAAGTCGAAATAAGATAAAAATAATTCAAATTATCCTGCTGGGTCTCTTAATAGAATTTTATAAATTGCTTGACTGTAGAAATTTTTTTTATGTGATTATCATCAAAACAAACATGGCTGAACTGCCCATGCTATTCGATGACGTCATCTTGGGCTCGCTAACTGTGATGATTTTAAGGACCACCGGTTGTAGATGTCAAAGCGGAAACCTTTAAAGCGTTTATTTTCAAGACAATAAAAAAATAAAAAATAAAACTTTAAATGTCCAAAATCGGCGGAATGATCCTTTGAGCCTCGAGTCACCTGTGAATAAATACACGGAGCGGACGTGTTTCTTTCATTGTTCGATATCACACCTTAGCAAATTTTCACAGATGGACCCGCCTCTTTAAAAATAAATAAATAAACAAATACATGAAAAATAAAATAACGTAATATGATGCTAGCAAATAAGTGCGTACCAATCCGTGGTACAAAGAGTGATACAGGTGAAGAGAGATACTAAAAGAGAGGACTGAATGTTGCCAAACCTGTGGCGCTGTCTTGGATGCAGGTGTAACTAGAAGATGCCATGGAGATGCGTTCACGTTCGCACAGGAGCAGCGGAAGGGTACATCACACTCATAAAAAGCGAGTAGAGAGCAGACGCGGGTTCATATTATTTGTTTACATCGTAAAATAAAAGACGATTGCTGTCGCAGTCTGCGGATGACACATAGGTAAATACATCGCCGCTTCCTTATGACCACGTGACTTCATCATGTGACTAATGCCTAGCCTGTAAGCTATTGCTGCTGGGAAGACTAAATTCAGGGCAAATGTTGAGTTAATGTTCCGGTTATTACTCATTTTTTGTTTTGTTTTATGTTTTATGACAGTTTTATTAATTAAGACTTAAGATAAAATAATTATTGTTTATTGAAGAGAACTTACGTTTGCGCAAGTAGTTAATAAGTTAAGTCATGGTGAAGGGAAAGAGGTTTTTCGCTTTTTGAGAAATACTGGTCTCATAAAGAGGATCTGAGGATTCAGGAGTGAAGCAAGATTAAAAGCCAGGAGATGACATTTTTGGATGCAAGCTGCCGTTAAACATGAAAGAAGAAGAAGAAGAAGGCCTCAGAGGTTGTCTAAGAGCATATTGGGAGCAACAACACCATGAAGCCCAAAGAAGACACCAGACAGGTCAGGGATAACGTTATTGAGAAATTCAAAGCAGGCTTAGGCTACAAAAAGATTTCCCAAGCCTTGATCATCCCACGGAGCACTATTCAAGAAATGATTCATTCAGAAATGAAAGGAGTATGGCACAACTGAAAACCTACCAAGACAATGCCGTCCACCTAAACTCACAGGCCGAACAAGGAGAGCGCTGATCAGAAATGCAGCCAAGGGGCTTATGGTAACTCTGGACGAGCTGCAGAGATGTACAGCTCAGGTGGGGGAATCTGTCCATAGGACAACTATTAGTCGTGCACTGCACAAAGTTGGCCTTTATGGAAGAGTGGCAAGAAGAAAGCCATTGTTAACAGAAAACCATAAGACGTCCCATTTGCAATTTGCCACAAGCCATGTGGGGGACACAGCAAACATGTAGGTGCTCTGGTCAGATGAGACCAAAATGGAAC